CTACTTCAGCACAAGGCCAACTTAGAGGATACATGATTCTCAAAGCCTAATGTAAAGCATATAGCTAGGCCCAGTAAGTGATCATGCAACAGGAAAGGAAACTGATGAACCCACAGCTTGGGCAGTCAGATTCTGAAATGTGTGATATCCAAAGGACACCCTCAGACTCATTTCCTGTAGACCAGTAATAAAAACCCTGGAAACTGACACAACACATGCCATGTCTCCACCATACCTCCACAGAGCACCCCTAAGATTCCTCAAATGTTTCACAGTTTGCATCATTGTCACTGATCTTCATCACTTACAGACTCCATCGAAAGAGAAGTTACACAGAGAATGTCTCCTTACAACGAAAAATATTTGACTCCTACCAGTGCATCAGCATTCCACATGCAGAGATATTGTACAAATGCTCTCTTATCAGGACCCCCCACTGCCTTTCAGGACAAGGAATCAGCATCACAGCTTGAGTGGCACAGGCCTTGGCACCAGGCAAAAGGCATGTTGACCCACCCGTAGTTCTGGTACCAAGCCATTCTCTCATTTTCCTTGTTCTGCATAAAGAGCCTTTAGTACCAGCACAGACTATATCCTATTTTTGACCATATGTGGCCTAGAAGCTGACAATGAAGAGTTTCATTCATTGACATTTTAGGAAACAAAATTACATCAAAATCTTTGTCTTGGCAGCAGAACACCTTCATAGAATGGATGGACACTGCTCTGCTAGACTGACAGCTAGAACAGCTCTCTACTAACAGCCACATTGAAACCCAGGTGTAGAACAGGAGACAAAACAAGGCAAGAATAAGAAAATGGGGACATGAAGGCACTACAGCTTAGTAGCTCCGACTATGTCATCTGTAGTAGGTACATAAGAAGAGTATCTAGCTGGTTGGTTCAAAACTGAGTCATGAGCATCAGCTCAATGATAGCATCACACTTGGGCAACTGTGCAGATACGTGACTCTACAACACTTTATGTGACATTTACATCTACACCCAGTAACCACCATTCACAGGAAAAGCTGCATCTGTCACAGTGCATACAATGAGTAACTTCCTGGCACATGCTTCAGAGAACAAAGCTCAGACTCAGAAATTAATGTCAGAAATATCCCACCCCATACCCTGCAGTCACACTAATTTTAATACCAATAAAACATCACCAGTTACTTCATGTAAGCAGGAGCCATTGAAAACATCTGAAATTTGGTCAAGGCTGGGGAAAGCTTCATACAACCAACAACGAGATATAGATGGCAAAATGATGCTTCACACAGCAGTTCTTAAGCACGGTAGCCCAGAGTGATGTTCACACATCCATGCCTAATGCTTGCAGACAAGTTTGTAAAACGATTGTCATCCCCTCTCAGTATGCAGGAAAAGGGGGCTTTTTGGAAGTGGCAGAACTGTTGCATCCTCTAAGTGTACTTGTCATAAGCACATAATATAACTGTTAATTAAGAATACCACAACAACATACAGCACATGGAAGGAAACTCCAAACACCCCCTATAGAGCAAGAATAACATGTCTTCTATCAAACATTCTTTAGGAAGTCACGCATAACGATCCTGCAGATGGGCACTGAATAGGGAAAGGAGCTAATCATGTCTCTTGTGTCCTTCGTGCACAGCTGCTCCGAGGATCCTCTCCAAGACCCACATGGTGGTCTTTACATAACTATCCTAAGATGAAGACAAATTTTCTCCTTATGACACTTGAGAGAAAAATATCAAGGTTTAAAAGAAAACCAGGCACAAACCATCAGAAGAGACTAAATCGCTAAAAAGCGTAAAACACAGAGAGAACGTGATGAAACACAAAACACCACCACAAGGAAAGACATGCCGGCAGAAGCTTCACTTCTCCCCACCCGTTGGGAACCTGAGCATCCAACCCGTATTCGCCTCCCGGGAGCGAGAGGCACCAGTACCCAACGCGGGGCTCAGACAAAGTTTGCCTCCCTCGTCCACACAATTCCCGCGCGGCAAACGGAATACAAAACCAGTCGGCGAAAGAGCAGACAAGCAGCAGGGGGAAGGAAACAGCGCGGAAAACAGCTCCTGGGATGAACTCACCGGGGGAATGGCGGAGTCCAAGCGGCTGGTGGCGGCAGGGTCCTGCCCAAGCAGCGGCGCGGGCTCGACAGGAGGCGGCCGGACCGGGAGGGTATCGCAGCAGCTGCCAGAGGACAAGCGGAGATGGCTCTTGCGCGAGTCGGCGGTGAGAGACACCTCGTGTGAGTACGAGTGCAGGAAGGCACGGACGCCGTCCATGCCCACAAACTGCGAGGCCGGGACTCCGCGCAAGGCGGCACTGCCCGACGCCGCCAGCAGCTGCGAGCGGCGCCAGTGCCGGAGACGCAGCGCCAACAGCAGCAGCAGGAAGGCTAGGAAGAGGCAGGACACGGCCGACACGGCCAGCACCAGCCAGCGTGTGAGGCTGGCAGCCGGCTCGCCCGGCGCCGCCGCCGCGCTGCCCAGTTCCGAAAGCAGCTCGGTCACGCTCTCGGCCAGCACCACCGTCAGCGTGGCCGTGGCCGACAGTGCCGGCCGCCCGTGGTCCTTCACCACCACCACCAGGCTCTGGCGAGCCGCGTCGCGGGCCAGCGGGAAGCGCGCCGTGCGCACCTCGCCGCTGTGCAGCCCCACGCGGAACAAACCCGGCTCCGTCGCCTTGGCCAGCTCGTACGACAGCCACGCGTTCTGCCCCGCGTCCGCGTCCACCGCCACCACCTTGGCCACCAGCGCCCCAGGCTCCGCCGACCGCGGCGCCAGCTCCACGCCCGCCCAGCCCGAGACCGCCGCCGCTGCCGGCGGGTACAGCACCTGCGGCGCGTTGTCGTTCTCGTCCACGATCTCCAGCAGCACTGACACGTTGCTGCTCAGCGCCGGCGCGCCGCCGTCCTCCGCCCACACCCACAGCCGCACCTCGCGCACCTCCTCGTAGTCGAACGAGCGCAGCGCGTACAGCGCGCCCGTCTCCGCCTGCACCGACACGTACGACGAGAGCGGCGCGCCCCGCACCCACCCCTCCGACAGCCGGTACCGCACGCGCGCGTTCTGCCCCCAGTCCGCGTCGGACGCTCGCACCGTCAGCACCAGCGCGCCCGCCGCGTTGTTCTCGGCCAGCCGGGCGCTGTAGCTCGACTCCGCGAACACGGGTGCGTTGTCATTCACGTCCAGCACCCGTAGCGCCAGCAGCGCTCTGCTCTGCATCGCCGGCGACCCACCGTCCACCGCCCGCACCGTCACGTTGTACTCGGACACCTTCTCGCGGTCCAGCTCCCCCACCGTCACCACGCGGTAGTAATCCTCAAAGGTCTTCTCCAGCTGGAAAGGGAGGGTCTCGGCGATGCTGCACCGCACCTGCCCGTTCGCCCCCGAGTCCCTGTCCTGTACGTGTAGCAGTGCCACCACCGTTCCTGATGCAGCGTCCTCAGAGATTTCACTCAAAGCCGACCGCACCGAAATCTCCGGGGCGTTGTCATTGACATCTGTCACCGTGATCACGACTTTCGCGGTGTCGAAAAGGCCCCCGCCATCATGTGCCTGCACCTCGATTTCATATGAGGACATTTCCTCAAAGTCCGGGCTTCGCATCAGCTTGAGCGTTCCCGTCACAGCCTCCAGCTGCAAGAACTTCGAGGCTTTGTCTGTGATTTTCTTCAACGAGTATTTCACGTGTCCGTTCAGACCCTCGTCGGCGTCAGAGGCCGTGACAGCGACAAGAACGGAGCCCACGGGTACGTCTTCGGGCACGCGCACCGTGTACTCCTCCTGGCTGAAAACGGGCGCGTTGTCGTTGGCGTCCAGCACGGCCACGCGGATCCGCAACGTGCCCGTCCGCACAGGTTCTCCGCCGTCGCTCGCCCTCAGCACCAGCTCGTGAAACGCCGCCTCCTCCCGGTCCAGCGCCTTCTCCAGCACTAGCTCGGGAGACTGACTGCCGCCGGGGCCCGCCTGCACAGCCAGCGAGAAGTGCTCGTCGCCACTCAGCTCGTAGCGCTGCAGGGAATTCGTACCCGAGTCCGGGTCGTGAGCCTCTGCCAGGGGAAACCGCGACCCCGGGGCTGTCATCTCGCTCATTCTCAGTTCATTTTCTGCTTGTCGAAAGTTGGGCGCATTGTCATTAATGTCCGTGATCTCTACTTCTATTTTGTAAACCTTCATTTCTCCCTCCACGATCACCTCACAGCGCAGCACGCATTGCTGCGCACTTTCGCAGATCTGCTCCCTGTCTATCCTCTCGGCTGTCACCAAATGACCCGTCTTCCCGTGCAAGGCGAAATGCTGCGTCCTACCTTCAGAGACGACTCGGACGCCACGGTGGCGGAGAACCGGCAACTCCAGCCCCAGGTCCTTTTCCACGTCGCCCACGAACGAGCCCTTGGGCAGCTCCTCCGGAACCGAATATCGCAGCTGCCCCCACGCCGCGTTCCACGCCGCCACCAGGATGACCAACAGCAGCGCTTCCTCCCGCCGGGCCCAGCTCCTTCCCGCATTTCTCATCTCCCTACCACGGCCCCGTCGGCTCCGCACCGCCGCAAACACTTCCCTTCTGCCCACCGCTGCTTCAGCTCCTGCTTTTTCGGCTTCTGGTCCGTGTTTCGGTTCTCGCCGCTGGCGGCCGCTGCCGCAGGCTCCTCCGCCTCTCTGAAGCACGGCTTTGCACTGCCGAGACACTCGCAGACCGCCCAGCCGCTGGAAAAACCAGCGAGCGAGCCGGGCCGCAGCGGGCGGGGCTGCCGGCATCGCTCCGGCTTTCCTTCTGCTCCTCCTCGGTCAACAGCGGCGCCCGCAGCCTTCTCCTGGCACTGCAGGCACCGAGCGCTGCCGAGCTCTGTTCGCCTGACCTTGCCCAGGTCCGTCTCGCGGCCACAGTTCGGACGACACAGAGCTGCCATCGGGTCCCAGTTGATCTCCTGGCTGCCCTCGAAACGAGCTGTTCCGTGACTTGTTCTTTACACCGCCTTTAAAAACGAAGTGGTGATGGCGGTATATAAATATTTTTTCGCCTTCGTGCTTGACTTGTACAAGGAGAGCAAAAGAAAACTGGCTTGGAGTTCTCAGATGCACATACTTCAGCTCATACGGAACAAGTTTCAGATCTGCTACCACCGCCTGCCGCAGAAGATATGTTTACTTGTTCGACTAGAGTAAGAACGAGAACAGGTACACCCGCCTTTACTCTTGCGACAGGTTTTACAGGACTACTGCACATTTTTCTTATAAATCTTCCTAATATTCGACTAGAAAGTGAAGTTGGAGTATTTTAACTGGTAACTTCCCCCTTTAATAGCGCACATAAACACTTATTGAAAAAAACCCAACATAGGACAGCAATCTCTGGATTAGAGCTGCAAACCGTAGCCTGTAAATGTGTAAATGGCTTTTATTCGAGTGCCTAATTTTTGCCGTTTTGCGTACCTCCTTCTCTGTTGCGTAGAGGCTTTTACTGGTAACCAGGAAAACGCAACAAATATTGCAAAAAGTGACTGACAGACCGAACTCGGTTTACTGCAAGCGCTTCTCTTCGGGAAATGAGGATAGGAAAACAGAACAGGTTCCTATATACAAAAGGATGTTGTTTTGGTTTGGGGTTTTGTTTTTTTCTTCTTGAGAGCCCATTGTACATCTATCAGGAGAAAGGGATAAGCGGTAACTACACAAAGAAATCAGAAAAATTAAGCCGAGATAGAAACTATCCTTGTAAGCAATGCTGCCATTTCTCCAAAAGGTGGCAGGACACACAGCAGAAGACGGGAACATTTACTGTGGAGTGACACTGAGAGAACCGTAAGTGCGCTTCCTTTGGGAAACAGCATTAACCACGTTCAAGTCCATCATTTCGGTAAAAAAGTGATTAGGAAGGAAAAATCTGCAATACCAAGCGTCAACCACATTTTCTCGACCCTGTAACGTAGTTAGCAGATCTCATTCTGCCCCGTAAGGATCTGTCTGCACCATTACTGACTCATAACATTTCAGACATCAGCTTCTTTTCAAAGTAAGTTCTTGTGTTTTCAGCTTTTTATGTTATTAGAAACCTTAGCCCAGCACCCTGCAAGCACAATTTCCCTCACCAATTGCACAGATTATTCTAATCCTTTTGCTTGAATTACTTTTCCCTCACCTTTTCAGCATATCAGAACCTTACTAAACTGGAACGCCACCAGCCATATTAATTTCCAAATTCCGTGCAATACCACAAGACACCTATGAAGATGTCCACTTAAAAAGAGACCTCCTCTGTCCGGCCGTTCCTCTCGACATTCATACTTTTCCCCTGCACTTTGGAGGCTGCTCTGATGACTCTGCATAGCTCCAGCTTCTCTCACTACCACTTGGGTTTTTTCGAATACAGCCTTCAGGTTAAAAGGTAGAGCTTATTGGGAAAAAAGTGGTTAAAAAAAAAAAAAAAAAAAAAAGGCTACCAAAGACCGAATATGATTTAACCCCGGTTAAAAAAAAATGACAGATCAGGAACGGTAGAAAAAGCTGGGGGTGGAGGGGATGGGAGAATGAGGAGATTTGGGGAGACACAACTCTACATGGAGTTAACACCTGTGCCTGTCTGTGACGCGCCGAAAATACCTGCTACCAAAACAGGGTAGCGACAGGGTTATTTCATTTGCCTCTGGAAAAAGAGTAGCAGCCTCCCTCAGCAGAGCAACGGAAAGCATCAACCAACCTCCTAGCAACTGTTCGGGGAAGTTCCGAGATAAGAATCATAAAAAACGTGCTTACAAACCTGCTGTGCGTCAGGCTCCACTGGCGCCTCTCCAGCGCCAGCGTTAGTGGTCAGGCTCTGCTCCCCGCAGGTCTTACTGCAGAAAAGCTTCTCCGCGGGCAGGTTTGGCAGCGGCGGCGGTGGCCAAGCGATCTCGGCGACGGCGCGCCCGGGCGCCACGCACAGGTTGTAGGAGTAGGGCAAGGTGCCCTCGCAGAAGTCGGCCGGGAAGGCGGCGCCGGTCCCGGAGAGGCGCTGCGCACCCAGGCAGCGCAGCACGGCGGGCGGGCCGGCACGGCGGCTCCTTGCCAGCACGGCCAGCGCCACACTCAGCAGGAAGAGCGCGGACAGAAGAGCCAGCGCCAGCACGAGGGAGAACTGCAGCTCCGCCGCCGAATCGGCGCCCGCCGCCCGCTCACTCAGCTCCGGCAGCGCCTCCTGCAAGCTCTCGGCCAGCACCACGTGCAGCGTGGCCGTGGCCGACAGCGCCGGCTGCCCGTGGTCCTTCACCACGGCCACGAGCCGCTGCTTCGCCGCGTCCCTGTCAGACACGGCCCGCGCAGTGCGCACCTCGCCGCTGTGCAACCCCACGCGGAACAGCGCCGGCTCTGAAGCCTGCACGAGCTCGTACGACAGCCAGGCGTTGCGCCCCGCATCCGCATCTACTGCCACCACCTTGGCCACCAAGTACCCGGCCTCGGCCGACCGCGGCACCATCTCGAACGGGACCGGGGCCGTGGCCGAGCCCGTGTCTGTTCCCAAGCCCGCCGCCGGCCACAGCACCCGCGGCGCGTTGTCGTTGCGGTCCAACACGAAGATGCGCACCGTTGCTGTCGAGCTCCGAGCAGGTTCACCGCCATCCTGAGCCCGCACCACCACCGCGAACTCGCGGCACTGCTCGTAGTCGAAGGAGCGCTGTGCGTACACAGCGCCGCTCTGAGCCTCCACCGACACGTACGGCGCCGCGCCAGCGCTGCCGCCCTCCATCGAGTACCTCACGCGCCCGTTGCTGCCCGCGTCTGCGTCCCGCGCCCTCACGTGCAGCACCAGTGCTCCCGCCGCGTTGTTCTCCTCCACGTAGGCGCTATCGGCGGCCTCCTCGAACACCGGCGCGTTGTCGTTCACGTCCGACACCTCCAGCACCAGCGCCGTGCTGCTCGAGAGCGCCGGGCTGCCCCGGTCCCTCGCCACTACCGTCACCCGGTGCTCGGACGCCTGCTCCCTGTCCAGCGCGCTCGCCGTCACCACCTTGTACGAGCCGCCCGACGACGCCACGAGCGACAGAGGAGCCTCACCCAACAGTTCGCACCACACCTGACCGTTCTCACCAGAGTCCGCATCCTTCAGCTGCAGCAGGGCCACCACCGTGCCAGCCGGCGAGTCCTCGGGTATCGGGCTCGACACCGACAGCACCGTGATTTCGGGCTCGTTGTCGTTCATGTCCAGTACCTCCACCTCCACGTTGCAGTGAGCCAACAAACCGCCCCCGTCCCTTGCTTCCACCAGAAGCGTGTAGCCACGGGTGTCCTCGAAGTCCAGCGCTTCCTGTAGCGTGATTTTCCCACTCTCCGCATCCACCAAAAACTTCTGAAGTACTTTTGCCGGTGTTTCCCCTAAACCATAGGTGATGCGGGCGTTGCTGCCTGAGTCGGCGTCGGAGGCGGAGACGCTCAACACCGTCGAGCCCAGCAGTGCATCCTCCCGCAAGCTCACTCGATACCGCTCCTGTGCGAACACGGGGGCGTTGTCGTTGGCGTCTGTGACGTTAATGCAGAGCTGGGCGGTGCCGCTTCGGGGCGGGTCTCCGCCGTCCACCGCCGTTAGCAGCAGCCTCAGGCTCTGCTCTTTCTCCCGGTCCAGCGCCCTGCGCAGCAGCAGTTCCGCGATTTTACCGCCGTCCGGGCTCTCCTTCACCTCCACTGCGAAGTACCCGTTTTCCTCCAGCTCGTATCTTTGCAGCGAGTTGCTGCCCACGTCCGCGTCATCTGCCATGCCCAAGGGAAAACGGGAGCCAGTAGAAGTGAGCTCGTTAATCTCCAGCTGGAAACTGTCTCTGAGGAAGCGGGGCGCGTTGTCGTTCACGTCCTGGATTGCCACGTCGACATGGAAAACATTAAGCGGGTTTTGCACCAGTGCCTCGAAGCTGACAGAACAGGTCGCCAACTTTCCGCACATCTCCTCTCTGTCCAGCCTCCCGCTTACGTACAGGTTCCCGTTCTCCCCATTCACGGTAAAGTATTGCTTCTCGGTGTTCAGCCGTAGCTTGCGTGCCGGCAGCTCTGCCGGGCTCATCCCCAGGTCCCGCGCCAGCGGCCCCACCAGCGAGCCTTTGTCCAGCTCCTCGGGAATGGCGTAGCGGAGCCGCTCTGGCGCCGCCCGGCAGCACCAGCACAGCAGTAAAGAGGGAAGCAGCACTAGGCTGGCTGCTGGCCGCCGGGTCTGCCATCCGGCCATTGTCGGCAGAGCTCGCAGCACTTTTCCCTCCTGCCGCAGCCTTCCCTCGCCTTCAGCTCCTCTCCGCAGGGAGCGGAGGGGCTGCCGGAGGGCAGCGAGCTCTGCGCCGGCTCGGACGCCGCTCTTCTGAGCCTCCCCCCCGTTGCCTCTCCTGCCCGCGCAGCTGCCGCTCTGGCCGGTGCTAGGGAGAGCGAGCAGCCTGAAGAGACAGAACGTTGTGGTGGCTGCGGCTCCGGTTTCGGCTCCATCACAGCTCTCCGTCGGCCAACAGCGACACCCGGAGGCGCCGCGACGCCACCGCAGTCAGGTAATAGCCGCGTTTTAGGGGCCCTGAAAGCCAAAGTCTGCGCCCGTATCCAGGGTTTCGCTTGTATCAGGGTGGGATGCCCCGAGGCACGGGGTTCATGCTTAGCAGAAGCAGTTATAGCCCCCCATACAGCAGCAAGAGCAGGCTTCTATCGAAGTGGGTTTCTGTATCTACAGAAGACTTTTAAAGGAGTATTACACTCTATCAGGGACTTATATCTTGTGGCCTGTGTTGGCACAAAACCAAGAAAACCTGTGTGCCAGACCAATAAAGTTCCCTCATGCACAGTCAGAGAATGAAAGACCAAATGTGAAAAGACAGTTACTCACACACTTTAGGGGTTATGTCTATCATTTGTATCTGAGATATAGTTTGTCCAGCATCCATGAGAAAAGGGAATCAGGGGGCTAAACATTGTGCAGAGTCAGAAGCAGAATGAAGATTTTTATGTTCGTCATCTGTAAGGTCTGCCAGCAATTTTGGTAAAGCCCTGTGCCAAGTTGCAATGTTAAGGGAGAGGCAGAAGGACATACTTAAAGCTCAAAACGCTGTTCTTTCCCATTTTCTAAACCTGCCTTATAATTTCATGCCAAAGCTGTAATTGTTAAGGGTCTGCACCTGGTTTCAGGTCTCACTTGTGTCAGAGTCGGGAAGCAGAGGCACTTCCTTTATGCAACTCTCAAGACACCACTGGGGGTTTTAGGTCATCTCTTTGGAGGACAGTGAACAGTCAGAAGGAATATTTGTGGCAGAGCAATAAAGTTGGCTGTCCTTAATAGAATGCAAAGGAAACTATGAAAGCAAGAAATTATATCTGTGGAAGACTGGCAGAGCTTTTTATCACTCTGACAGGTATTTTGAATTCTGCTTTCCTTACCTCGTCAAAGAAGGAAATACTGTTGGAGTAATCAAAGAGTAATCAGAAACAGAATGAAGCAAAAGTCCTGGGAATCCATTCATGCCAGGCTATAAAGATTTCCTTCTTCTCTGCTGTCAGATGTAACAGTTATTTTTCTCCTTCTTAGTAGCTGGTATAGAGCTGTGTTTCAGCTTTAGTCTTTCTTCTTTTTCTTTCTTTTTCTTCCTACATTTCTTGCTTTTCCTCATGTGAGACAGTGGTGTTTATCTCATTGCTAATGTTTCTTGCAGGCAGAACAGCATTCTCCCTGACAAATATCACTCTAAAGGTAATGTGTGTAGCTTTGTCCTAAGAGAAGAGAAGAACTTTTACTGTTTCCTTCCTGATTCACAGAAGTTCCTTTTTTTGCCTCTCCATACTCGGGGAGCTGACAATGGGAAAGTCCAAAGCCATGTCAAGCCTTTCACAAAACCCAAGAAGGGTTTGGGTTGAAGGCACTATAAAGATCATTGAGTGCCACCCCCTGCCATGGGCAGAGACATCCTTCGCTTAGTTACAGTGCTCAAAGCCCCATCCAACCTGTCCTTGAGCACTTCCAGTGATGGGACATCAACAAGTTCCCTGGGAAACCCATTCCAGTGTCGCACTACCCTCACTGTAAAAAAATTCTTCCTTATGTCCAATCCAAATCTACATTTTTTCAGGTTAAAACTCTTACTTCTTGTCCTGTCTCAACTTGGCAAAAGGCCTTGGTAAAAAAGTCTTTCTTTTAAGCCTGTTTATATATAAAAAATCCACAATAACATGTTCACAGAGCCTTCTCTTCTCCAGGCTGAAAAACCTCACCTCTGTGAGCCCTTCTTCTTAGTAGAATTGTTCTAGCCCTTTGACCATTTCCATGGTCCTTCTCAGTCCTAATTAACAGGTCCACGTCTTTCCTGTAGTGTGGATCAGAGCTGGAGACAGTGCCCAGGGAGTGTCTCATGAAACAGAGTAGAGGGGGAGAATCCCCTCTCTCAAGCTGCTGGCCACACTGCTGGTGAAGCAGCCCAGGATACAACTGCCTTTTTAGGTAGCAAGTGCACATTGACATCTCGTGTCCCATTTGTCACCCACCGCTACCTCCTAGTCCATCTCCACAAGGCTGCTTTCAATCTCTTGAGTCTGTACTGAAACCTGAGATTGCCCTGATGCATGTGCAGATCCTTGCACTTGGCCCGTGGAACTTCATGACTTTCCACAGACACACTTCCCAAGTGTCTCATGGCCCCTCTGGATGGCTGGATCCTTTCCCTTTTGTGAATCAATGGTATCACTCGGCTTAATGTCATCTGTAAACCTGCTGATGGTGCATTCAATCCACTCTTTGTGAAAATACTAAATACTACTGGTCCTAGTACAGACCTCCCTGTAGACCACCACACATCACTGGTTTCCACTTGGACATTGAGCCATTGACTAATCTAGCCAGTTCCTTATCCATCTAAGAGTCCATCTGCCAAACCATTATCTCTCCAACCCAGTGGCCACCATGTTATGCAGGACCATGTTGAGGACACCCTGCATGTGTTCTCCTGCTGGCCCCTAGTCTGTTCATGGCAACCTTGGCTGGGTTGGATTGCCACACTGCATAATTTTGCTATGGACAACTGGTTGAGCACCCATATGCCTATGAAAGCCTTGCCTTTCCTGGCTGTAAACATCAAAGATGCACATGGGAACTGAGCCCATGCTCAGACAACTGAAATAGAGGTGACCATCCCATTTGACCAGACGCCCTGAGGTCCAGTCATGAAAACACACAAGGTAAGACTTAGAAACATACAGAAATGAATGGAGCAGGATTCTGAGGCCAAATGTATTCAGAAACAGAAGCATTACTTGTGTGCTACTGAATAAGGCACATGCTTATGTGAACTGTGACAAGCAAGGAAATGACTATCTACAGCCTCACACACAGAGCTCCCCTGTCTTTTTTGCAACACTGTAAAACTTACCAGTTTCCTTCTGACCTTCTTATAATTGGCAGAATTGCAAAAATACGATGTCCTGTAATTCTGACCTCATAATCACAGAACCATGAAATCACAGAATATTTTGGGTTGGAAGGGAGTTTAAAACTCACCCAGCTCCAACCCCCTGCCATGGACAGGGACACCTACCACTAGACCAGGTTGCTCCAAGCCCTGTCCAACCTGACCTTCAACACTTCCAGTGATGGGACATCCACAACTTCTCTGGCCAACTTACGCCAGCATCTCACCACTCTCATAGTAAAGAATTTCTTCTTGATATCTAACCTAAATTCACCCTCTTTCAGTTTAAAGCCATTCTCCCTTGTCTTATCATTACATACCCTTGTAAAAAGTTCTCCAGATTCCCTGTAGCCACCTTTAAGCACTAGGAGCTGTTCTATGGTCTCCCAGGAGCCTTCTCTTCCCCAGGCTGAACAACCCCATCTCTCTCAGCCTGTGAGAGAATAAGCAGAAACCAATCATGAGAGGATGATGTTCTACCCTCACTCCAAAAAAGGGAAGTACAATCAGCTTCTTAACACCATTCTCAGGAGAAACAGAAGGATTCAAAAGCACACGAATGATAAATGGCCAAAATAAAAGAGGAATAGTAATACAACAGAGATTGGATCATTCAGCTCTCCACTTAGAGGGAAACTCCTTCCCTCTGTTACGCACATTGTTCTGCAGAAATGAGACAGCTACCCAGTTTATGTTGACATCTGTTTCCCCTGACAATAACAGAACACAAAGGCACCCTCATATCTCCTGCTTTTCACACCAGCTACAGCATGCGAAAGAAGCAATAACACAGGATGCACTGATAAACAAATCTATGCTTTTATGTACAAGTAAAGTGACACATGTAGGAAACCAAGAAGAGAAAACCAAAACTATAAATCAGACAAGCAAGGCAAGGAAGCT